TGACGCAGGCCGTCCAACTACATTCCGTCCGCCAGTGTACAATGATAAAGAAATGACGTTAACCCTTAAATCAGTAGTATGGAATTTACTTTCGTAGGGTTATGCCAAATTTGCGTCCTACTATCACGCTGATAAAGGGACACCATGTCAGGGTTCCGAAAGTTTTCTGGAAAATAAGCCTTTTACCATTTTTATTATCAATTATATATTTAATCGGTCTATTACTATCATTCAAAGTAAACCATGCTTATCGGATCTATATATGATATTTATTTACAATATTTTAGATTATGCCAAAAGTTAACCGCAGCATCATAGATCTGCTAGCAAACTGCTTGCTGTAAATGTCATTAGTTAAAATGGACAAAGATAATTTGCTTATTAACTGTCCTCTTTTTCATTAAGTCAATTTTTAAAGTGCCCACTACTTTCCAAATCAGGAGTCCTTTTGGAATAAAACTGCACAAAGTTCAATTGATTTGAATTGCTTTTTTATTCAATTATTTAATAGCTTGATTTGAATTCAGAAAGAGGAAACCACTGTTCAATCCAGAGCAAGATCCGTAGATGACCTGCATTTCACAGAAACGAGCCGCCTGTGAACAAGGTCAAAGCTTGTGGGTTTTTCTTCGGTTGTTCAATGGCAAACTTTGTTCTGATATTCAAATGTGATTTTCCTATGTGCATTTGAGAAGTTACAGAATGTTTGCTTGGGCATTGTAATAAACTTGCTTCGCTTGAGGCGAATATATTTATTAGCAATTTAATCGAACAACAGAGGAAAGCGGTGTGCCAACACAGAATTGCAAGCTTCTTTGAGGTTGTTCATTTAACTGACTGCTTGTTGCACCATGATTATTTGCAAAACCTTCTTTTCTTAAAGTTTGCTTCAGTGCTGACGATGGCTGCTAGCCGCATTCATTGGCATTACATGGTCCTTTTAAACATGTTCTGCTTAGCTAAGCCATTTTCATCTGCTCTGCTGAGAGTGACCATGCGTTCATTAACCGAATTCTTCACATTTTGACCGTTTATCCAAAGTGTCATCGGCTGAACCAGCGGTTTCACCGATATTTGTTTGATATAATGTCTTTCTTGTAAAAGGGAAAACGAAGTTCACTTGGAGATTTCTGAACCGTGTTTATCTTGTAGATATGTATTTATGTAAATATAAAATTTTTATTCTTTCATTCACGTTCATTTTGTACAGGATGACCAATAAAAGCAGCTAGGTAGAATTTCGCAGTGGATTTTGTTCCTTCTCGGTTGTGCATGCGGTTAAACCTCCAAGCCATTTTTTGTGACTGTTCATGGATGAAGGTCTCAGAATATTGGTTTACCTCCAATTCGGAAATTATGTTACTGTTTTACTGATGGAGTAGGGAAGAATCAGCGCGCATTTTAAGCTTCCAAGGTATGGCGTTTTAATCAGTCCTGCTCTGATGGATTTCGGGAAGTGGGATGAAAGTGTGTTCGGTGGCCATGTTAAGATGGACTTGATACAGCGGTACTTACACGTAATGCGCGTGCCCAAATTCACACTGCACAGTGAAGCAATCAGATAAAATTATTATCAGCATCAGAATCATAGCGGATCGAAGCTCATCAAACATCCAAAATGTCCTTCTCTTCATCCTCTAATTCGGTTCAAAGTACTTTTAAACCTGACAAGAAGTAAAATTTCAGCCCACAACATAAGGCTGATTATAATGCGTATGTAAGAGTTGTGAATGGTGTTACAAAAACACTGATCGTGGTTTTGAAAATTCGGCAATAACTCCTTACCGAATTTGTTTGAACAATTTCACTTTTGTTTTATCCAATGCTTTAGTTGCTTCCTTTTGCGACTTTTCGTATTTACATT